CTTCTCTCTCCCCTATCTAGATCCCCCGCCCCCCTGGTGGCCAAAGAGCCCTTAATAATTTTTCCCTTCCCTGCCACCCCAATTCTGGTTGCCATGGGCTTCCTCCCCTCCCCCCTTCCCACCACCAGGTCGAAAGTTCCTGATCGCCAATGCTCAGATGAAGACCTGCCGCCATCATTTACTGCAACGATGGCTTCTGTGAACTCTTTGGCTACTCCCGAGTGGAGGTGATGCAGCGACCGTGCACCTGTGACTTCCTCACAGGCCCCAACACCCCACGCAGTGCCATGACCCGCCTGGCGCAGGCCCTGCTGGGGGCTGAGGAGTGCAAGGTGGACATCCTCTACTACCGCAAGGATGGTGAGGTGCCCTCGGGCCACAGGCTCTTGATCCCTCTCTTGTTCTGCCAGAGTGGCCATGGGGAGGGCACTGACCCCGGGACTAAGGGCCTGGATAAATCTTGTTTCCTGTCTGGGCCTCAGTTCCCTCATCTGTGTGGGGAAGTGATGGGCATTGGAGGTGATGCCTTTAGAGGTCCTTTTCAGAAACAGCACTTCAGGCCGAGCCACTGACTGGTCCTGGTTCTGGGCAGAGCCTCCCACTCCACCATCCCTCCCCCATGTCCCCAGTCTCCTGGCTGTCCACTCTGTCACTGTCAGCCCCAGCTGTCAGGCAACTGGGATGGAAATTAACTTTCCCTCATCTCTGTCTGCTCTGGGGATTAGGGGAGGAGTCAAGGCCTCTGTGGCCAAGTAAGGCCTGGTGGTTGCTGGATGGGAAAGAGGGGTGGGTCTGGCTCACCCAGCCCTGGCTCCTTGGAAAGAGAAGGTCCGGAGACTGGCCTGACCTGGAGGCTCATTGAGTTTGGGATGTCACTGCCAAATTTACTGCAAGCAGAAGAGAAGCATAGGGCAGGGCCTGATGATAAAGACTTCTGCAGGCCTTTGAAGCCCTTCCCCAGGACCTCTGAGGCTCTATTGGATGAAGCATGGGGGCGGGGGGGGGGGGAGGGAAGTAGATGGGTGGGAACTAGGATCATAAAAGTCCCTTTGAAATTACCTGGACCGGTGCCTCCTCCCCGCCCCACACACACACACACACACACACTCACCTGGTTCTGCATCAGAATTACCTGGGGCTTGTTTTCCAAAACACACCTTCCCTAGAGAGAGGCTGACTCATAAGTGTGAGGTGAGGCCCAAGCAGGTATATTTGGAAAAATCCCCCTGGGGGTTCGAATGTTCTCCTAAATTTGGGAACCACTGGCTTAGGTAAATCCTTTCACTTCATGGATGAAGAAACTGAGGCTTAAGAAAAAGAAGGGACTTGACGAGAATCCTACTGCTGGGGTCCAACCTGGGGCTGGATTCCAGGTCTTTGGATCCTTTCCTAGAGATCTCTCTGTGCTGAGTAATCCCAAGAGGGGAGGAAGGGCCCCAACTGTCTCTGTGCTCAGAGGCAGGACTTTGGGGAGAGTCATGAGGGCCATCTGAGTGCAGACACAGGTCAGGCACCTTTGGATGGGAACTGAACAGGACTGAAGCTTAAGTTCCAGGGGCCAGGTGTGTGTGTGTGTGTGTGTGTGTGTGTGTGTGTGTGTGTAAGGGCTTCCAGGGTGCTTCTTGGGCAGGTCCTGGCTGTCCCTGTGGCTGTCTCCTGCTGTTGCCACCCAAGTGAATGCAGAGGTAGAGAGGTAGAGATTAGGTGACTAGGAAGAATCTGGCTTAGTGTGGCGGCACTCACAGGGTTAATGAAGTCAGAATATTTTAAAAAGCTGTGATCTCACCTCCTCATGTCATTGCAGGGAGGAGGTGACAGTCAGGGGAGTGAGAAGGGTCCTGGAAGAACAGGATGGGACAGTAGGAAATGAGGGGGAACAACAGGTCCTTCTCTGTCCCTCTCCTTGACCCCAGAGCTCTACCTTGGCCCCAGAGGAGTGAGGGCTGATTCTAGCACCTGGAGAAGCCAGATCAGGATTCTTAGGGTCTCCTCAGCACTCGGCATGTGACTGGGCAGGGGCAGAGGTCAAGGCCAGGCCTTGGCCCTCTGAGGTTAGAAAAAAGGTCTTTGGAATCCTCCACCTATATCAGAAGGGACCCT